GGAGCAGGAAGGGAGGAGCAGTATGCTGGCATGGAGGAGCAGGGTTGGAAGAGCAGGATGCAGGGACAGAGGATCAGGGTGCTGGGATGGAGGAGCAGGGAGCTGGGACAGAGGAGCAGGGAGCCAGGACAGAGGAGCAGGGTGCTGGGACAGAGGAGCAGGGTGCTGGGATGGAGGAGCAGGGAGCTGGGACAGAGGAGCAGGGAGCCAGGACAGAGGAGCAGGGTGCTGGGATGGAGGATCAGGGTGCTGGGATGGAGCAGCATGGATGCAGAGATGGAGTGGCAGGGTGCTGGGATGGAGGAGCAGGGTTGGAAGAGCAGGATGCAGGGATGAAGGAGCAGGATGGAAGGATGGAGGAGCGGCTGTCAGGGCAATCCAAGGGCCCATCGCACGAGCCCTCACCGCTCTGATGCCAGAGATGGAGATACCTGCTCACACCCTGCTTGTCCTCGCTCCGGGCAGAGGGAGCCAGGCAGGGCCTGTCTCTGCTTCCCTTCCTCAGGCCCCTTTTAGCACCATCCTCTTCCTCTCAGTGGTACCTGGAGTGGCTGGGGGGGACTCCAGTGACCTGGGAAAGGATCCAGCACCTCTCTCCTCTCATCGGGATGCTCTGCTTTTCCATTTTCTCTGGAAGCAGAGAGCTCAGTCCCTTTCAGAGCCAGCCCTCACCCACGCAGGACCTCCCGTCCCGGATCTGGCAGCAGGAAGGTGCTTCAACTCCCTGCCTGCGCTTGGCAGTGGGCTCGAACCCCATCTGCCGTCTGCCCTGCCCGTGCCTCCTGTGCGTCTTCTGCAAGAGGGCAGCTGGCTGGGCTCCCCAGCCTGGGAATGCGGCAGCAGAGCTCAGTACCGCTGCTTCCCATGTCTACAGGGGTCCCAGAGCAGGAGAGAAGCTGCCGGCAGCTGGAAGCGATGAGCAGGGATGCTCCTGGGGCTCATCTCGGGGGCTCGGGAGGGAGCAGGGAGCATTTCAGGGAGCAAAGAGCTGCCAGATGCTCTCCAGAAGGAGAGGTCACCTCTGCCTCTTCCCCAGCCGGCCCGGGGCTGCGGTGGTGGGCGATGCGGCAGCTGCCGGTGACAGCTTGTGTTGCATTCTGTTTGCTCACGCCTCGCGGCTCCGGCTGGCGAAGAGCAGAGCTTGTGCCGGGGAAGCAGCAGCACCCTGCCAGCCACGGCACCCTGTGAGCCGCAGCACCCCACAAGCTGCAGGACCCCGTGAGCCGCAGGATGCGTGAGCTGCAGCACCCTGTGAGCTGCAACACCCCATGAGCCACAGCACCCTGTGAGCCGCAACACCCCATAAGCTGCAGCACCCTGTGAGCCACAGAATCTCATGAGCTGCAGCACCCCGTGAGCTGCAGCACCCCATGAGCTGCAACACCCCGTAAGCCGCAACACCCCATAAGCCACAACACCCCGTGAGCCGCAGCACCCCATGAGCCACAGCACCCTCCCAGCCGCAGCGCTGGTGCACAGGCCTGGGCAAAGCTCCCCCAAGTTATGGCTCCAGCTCTAACTTCCAGCTGCAAAGAGAACTGCGAGGGTGACGTGGTCCCCGCTGGACGCAGGGGCCCAGCCATCGCCCTCCCGCAGGCTGGCAGCGGGGCGAGGCCGATGGCCAGAGCCTGGCGGAGGCCTTCCCCGTCCCGGGGGGCACAGTGACACCGGCCCGTCCCCACTGCCTGCCCCCACAGCGCTGAGCCGCTCTGTGCCCGGGGTCTCGATTCTATAAATCCTCCCAAACCTGAAAGCAAACTTTCCCCAAAAAGTCATTTTGCTTTTTCTGGCTGAGGAACCACGCTGCCTTCGGCACAGCCGTTGGTTAAGGGCACGGACGCTGGAAGGAACCGCGGTTCTGGGAAGCGCGGTGCAGGCGGCAAAGAAATCCCGGCTCTGCCTCCTGTGTGATTATTATTTCAGCTTTTTCCACACTTCACCTCCTGGAAAAATCTTTGGTTTTTCCTCCGTTTGCTTTTGCTGGGTGTAAAGTAGATGCAAGCCGTCTTCTGGGTGGGCTCAGGGTGCCTCGGCCAAGCAAGCACGGCTTGGCTGGGTCCCCCTCCCTCCTCCCCTGCCCCTTCTCAGCTGCACCACTCGAAAACCAAACCGAAACGTTCCTGGGGGGGACAAGAGCACGGCTGGGAGCCCAGGAGGGCAACTGTCACCTCCTGGCACCGGGGAAGGTCCCCTGGGAAGCCGATGCTGAGAGGTCATTTAGTGTGACTGTGAGCATCCTCCCTCCCCGTGCCCTGCATCGGAGCAGCGGAGGCCGCGGCATTAAATAATTCCCGTCCTCGCGAGCCCTGCAAGCCCCGTCGGGGCAGGATTTGTCCCCCCCTCTCCTGCGCTGGGACATGATGAGGAGCTGGGAGGCAGCGGAGACGCTGCCACGGCCGAGCCGTCGGGGCAGAGCCGGGGGCAGGACGCGGGGGGCAGGGTGCTGGGGTCCCTGCAGCGATGCTGTGGTCCCCCCCCGGGGACCGGCAGTGACCCGGGCGTCCTGCGGCGCTGACACATGTCGCTGCTCGCTTGAGGTGCCAGCACATGTGCAAAGCGCAATTGTTCCTCGTGTCGGGTGTCAGCGGCTGACGAAACGCGTCCCAGGGCCACGCGGGCAAACCAAGAGCGTTTCCTTTCCCAGCTGGCTGGATCCCCTCCCGCTTCCACCCAGGGCTGTTGGGGCCTTGCTCCCACAGGTCGGCCAGGATTTGCACCGCAGGTGCCTGGGACGGAGCAGGGAATGGTGCCCACGTGGGTGCCAGGCAACACCCCGGCAGCAAGGCCCCCGCTGGTTTGGGCGCTTCAGCCTCCGTCCCCTGCACGGAGTGTGTCAGGATCCGGCCCTTCCCCGCACACGGATGCTTTTGCGGGCGCTGGGTGGGGTGAGAGCCCCACGGGTGCGGGGTGGCCCTGGGTGGCCCTCGGCGAGAGGAGAGGCTGCAACGTCGATGCCAAAGTGCAGCAGCGCGGCGGCCCAAGAGCTCCGCCGGGCCACGCGGGGTGTGCACGCGCGTGCAACCGTGCAGCCGTCCGCGTGCGAGACGCGAGGCGGAGGCGGGGTGCGCGTGCACCCGCGGAAGCAAGGCTGGAGGGGCTGCAGGGCTGCGGTGCGACGTGGGAGGGTGTGCGGGCACGGGTGTGTAAATCCATGCAAGTGTGCGCGTGTGTGCGTGTATGCGTGTGTGTGAGTGGGTGTGCAAGCGCGGGCAAGGGCTGCGTGTGCCCGCGGGTGCGTATGTATGCCTGCACACGCGTAGGAGCGCGTGTGTGCAGGTGTGGGCGAGGGGGTGCACACGGGTGCACGTGAGTGTGTGTGTGCACACGCATGGGTGTGTCTGTGTGTGCGTGAGCGTGTGTGTACGTGTGCACCCACACGGGCATATGCACATGAGCGCGTGTGCGTGCAAGCGTGGCCAAGGGGGCACACGGGGGGGGGTGCGCACGAGTGTGAGTGTGCACATGTGTGCACCCAGATGTGCACACGCATGGGTGCGTACGTGTGTGCATGAGTGTGAGTGTGCATATGTGTGCACTCAGATGTGCACACGCATGGGTGTGTATGTGTGTGCGTGAGTGTGCACATGTGTGCATGCACGTGAGTGTGTGTGTGTGCAAGCGTGGCCAAGGGGGCACACGGGTGCGCCTGCGTGTGCCTGAGTGTGAGCAGGGGCCGTGCCCGTCTGCGTGCCCTGCCACGGGACCTCCCGCTCCTGATCCCAGTGCGGGTCCTGATCCCGGCGGGAGGGGTGCGGGTCCCGATCCCGGGGCGGGTGCCGGGGCGGGTGCAGGTCCTGATCCCGGTGGGTGCGGGTGGGGGTGCGGGTCCCAATCCCAGTGCGGGTCCCGCTCCCGGTGGGTGGGGGTGCGGGTCCCAATCCCAGTGGGTGCGGGTCGGGGGGCGAATCCCGCTCCCAGTGAGGGTCCCACTCCCGGCGGGAGGGGTGCGGGTCCCGATCCCAGTGCTGATCGCTATCCCGATGGGTGGGGGTGCGGGTCCCGATCCCGGTGGGTGCGGGTGGGGGGGCGGGGCCCGCTTCCGCAGCGGG